AAAAAAAAAAAAAAAAAAAAAAAAAAAAAAAAAAAAAAAGAATTATACTATATTTTGAGAGATGTATGTCAACTATCATTTTTATTTTATTATTATTTTTTTTGAGGTGGAGTCAAACTGAAATGCAATGGCACGAAATCTTGGCTCACTGCAACCTCTGCCCCCAGGGTTCAAGTGATTATCCCACCTCAGGCTCCCAAGTAGCTGGGATTACAAGCGCCTGCCACTGTGCCTGGCCAAATTTTGTATTTTTGGTAGAGATGGGGTTTCATCATGTTGGCCAGGCTGGCCTTGAACTCCTGACCTCATGAGCCACCTGCCTCCCACAGGTGTGAGCCATCATGCCCAGCCTCAACTATCATTTTACTGAAGGACTGTAGGTCCTAGAATATTAGAGAATTTCATTTATTACCAAGATTAAAAGCAAACATGATTAATATTTACAAATGTATTGAGTTATCTGAATTTATTGTGGAGATTTTCTAATATGAGTTGATTTTAAAAGTTACCAAGATTTAAAAAAAAGTTACCAAGATTTCTGGTATAAAAAAGGAATTACAGCTAATTATATTTCAAATGGGTATGAAAGTGAACAATAAGGGTAATAGTAAAAGGAAGAAAATAAAATGTTATAATAAAGATGAGAACATAATACAGATAAAAAAGTGATATAAAGGTATAACTTTTCAGAAGAGATTAAAAACTATCTACAATAATATACATTGTATGACTGCTGGATATTATGATTATATCCTTCAGCCTCTTATCTAGTTTGTAAAGAGATATTGACTGTTTCCCTCATTAATGGCAAGTGTAAATAGCTGAGGTGGGCTTTCAAAGACAATTTACCACCTCCCCACATGGGGCTTTGGAAGGTTGTCACTAAACTAATTATTTCTGTGGAAATATCTTAATGGAATTTATTTCACTGTTGAGTCTTATTTCTACCTCAAGTCTTTTATAGAGGCAATAAATTTTACAAAATTGCATGGAAAAAAATATCAGCAATCAACCTTTAGAGAAGTAGTCTTTTGCAAAAACATGGTTTCTATTGTATTTGTACCATAATAGGAAATGTAGCAGTTTTCTAGTAAAGAACACCACAAGATCTTACAGAAAATTCGGTTTGAACTAAGAGACTAAAGAGAGATAGAGATCAAATTTTTGAAGTTAAAATATTTCTATTGATAACCTTTTATTCAAGTATTATTGAGTGTTATTTTCATTAGATAATTTGACTGGCTTCTCATATATATTGCGTATAGTATTGCAGTCTGGAAATGGAATAGTCACTTTCCTCCATTAAAGTAAGCTTTGTCTGTGTCTGAATGCCCAGACTTAACAGTGTTGCTAATCACTCAGGCAAAATGTGTGACCAAGTCTACATTTGCTGGAAATTTCTGATGTTATAAATACTTGTAAATACTAATTAATCATGATTGATTAGTATTTTCAGCAAGGAACCAGAGGTAACATAGAGTAACCTAGCAAGTGGATTTACTTTTACAGATTCATTCCTCTACAATTCTGTTCATGGTTCATGTTTTTTTGTTTGTTTGTTTGTTTTGTTCTGGTTTCTTTCATTGTGGTAAAATACACATAACAAAATTTTCTGTCTTACCCATTTTTAAGTACACAATTTAGTGGTATTAAGTACATTCATATTATTGTACAACTATTACCACCATTCGTCTCCAGAACTGTTTTCCTTTTGCAAAACTGAAACTTTCTATCCATTAAACAATAACTTCTCATTCTTTCCTCCTCCTAGCCCCTGGCAACTATCATCCTGCTTTTTGACTCTATGATTTTGACTACAATTAATAACTAATTTGAGTGGACTCATACAGCATTTATCTTTTTGTGACCAATTTATTTCAGTTAACACGATGTCCTCATCAAGGTCCACTCATATTGGGGCATGTATTAGAATTTATTTCCTTTTTTTTTTTTTTTTTTTTTTTTTTCTTTTTTCTGAGACAGAGTCTTGCTCTGTTGCCAGGCTGAAGTACAGTGGCTTGATCTTGGCTCACTGCAACATCTGCCTCTGCCTCCTGGGTTTAAGCTACTCTTCTGCCTCAGCCTCCTGAGTAGCTGAGACTACAGGTGTACGCCACCATGTAGTTTTGTTTTTTAAAAAAGTTTTTGTCTTTTTAGTAGAAATGGGGTTTCACCATGTTGGCCAGGCTGGTCTCAAACTCCTGACCTCAGGTGATCTGCCTGCCTCGGCATCCCAAAGTATTGGGATTACAGGTATGAGTTACTGTGCACAACCAGAATTTGTTTCCTTTTTAAGGCTGAATAATACTCTGTTGTATATATGTATCACATTTTGTTTATCCATTCATCAGTCAGTGGATACCTGGGTTGCTTCCATGTTTTAGCTACTATGAATAATACTGCTATTATATAGATGTACGATTATAGATGTATAAGTTTCTCTTTGGGACCCAATTCTTTTGAGTTGGGTTATACCAATTCTACCCATAGAATTGCTGGGTCATTTGGTAATTCTATTTTTAACTCTTTGAGGAAACCATTTCCACAGTGGCTGTACTATTTTATATTTTCAACAATGCATAGGGTTCTGATTTCTCCACATCCTTGCCAATGCATGTTATTTTCTGTACCTCATTATACTTTTGATTTGTGTTTTCCTAATTAGCAATATTGAGCTTTTTTTTTCATGTGCTTTATGACCATTTGTGTATCTTCTTTGGAGAAATGTCTATTCACATCATTTGCCTACTTTTTAATTGGGTGGTTATTTATATTGTTGAATTCTTTATTAATTCCTTGTTAGATATATGGTTTGCAAATATTTTCTCTCATTCTGTAGGTTGTCTTTCTCCTCTGTTGATACTGTCTTTTGATGCACAAATTTTTAAAATTTCCATAAAGTCCAGTTTGTCTATTTTTTTGTTGTTGCCTGTGTCTTTGGTGTCATATCTAAGAAAGCATTGCCAAATCCAATGTGCTTTCTGCTTTCTTGCCTTATGTTTTTTTAAATAAGAATTTTATAGAATCAGGTCTTACATTTAGGTCATGGAGCCATTTGGGGTTAATTTTTGTACATAGTATTAGGTAAGATCCAATTTCATTCTTGTGCATGTGGTATACAGTTTCCCAGCTCCATTTGTTGAGAAGGCTGTCCTTTTCTCCATTGAATGGTTTTGACACCGTTGTCAAAAATCACTTTACTATATATGCAAGGATACATTTCTGGATTCCCTATTGTATTTCATTGTTCTTCATATGTGTCTGTCTTTATGTCAGTACCATTCTACTTTGATTACTGTAGCTTTGTTGAAACTTTGGAAATCAGAAAGTGTGGCCGGGCATGGCGGCTCACACCTGTAATCCCAACACTTTGGGAGGCTTAGGTGGGCGAATCATCTAGGTCAGGGGTTCAAGACCAGCCTGGCCTGCATAGTGAAACCACATCTCTAATACAAAAATTAGCTGGGTATGGTGGCGCATCTCGCTAATCCCAGCTACTCCTCAGGAGGCTGAGGTATGAGAATCACTTGAACCCAGGAGGTAGAGGTTGTAGTGAGCTGAAATCGCACTACTGCACTCCAGCCTGGGAAGCAGAGCAAGACTCCATCCCAAAAAAAAAGAAAAGAAAGGGTGAAGCGTGACTCCTCCAACATTGTTGTTCCTTTTCAGGATTATTTTGGCTATTCAGAGTCCCTTGAAGTTCCATATAAATACTAGAATGAGTTTGTCTATTTCTACAAAAAAACATTATTTGGATATTTAAAAAGATTGCATTAAATCAGCAGATCACTTTGGATAGTATTGATATCTGAACAATATTAACCCCTTCAATTCATGAGCATGGAATTTCTTTTGTTAATGTCCTCTTTGCTTTCAGAAATGTTTAGTGGTTTTCATTGTATTGCTTCTTTGGTTAATACCTAAGTATTTTATTCTTTTTGGTGCTACTATAAATAGAACTATTTTCTTAATTTTCTTTTCAGACTGTTCACATTTAGTGAATAGAAATGCAACTGATTTTTGTGTGTTGACTTTGATTCCTGCCTTTTTGATGAATTTATTAGTTCTGACGTACGTGTGTGTGTGTGTGTGTAATCTTTAGGGTTTTCTACAAATACAATCATATTATCTGTAAAGAGTTAATTTTACTTTTTCCTTGCCAATTTGGATGTCTTTTATTTATTTCTTTTTTTTTTTTTTTTTTTTTTGCCTAATTTCTCTGACTAGCACTTCCAGTGCTCTGTAGAATAGAAGTAGACAACCAGGCAACCTTATCTTGTTTCTGATTTTACAGAAAAAGCTTTTAATCTTTCATCGTTGAATATAATGCTTTTTGTGGGTTTGTCATATATAACTTTTGTTATAGCGAGGTAGTTTCTGGTCTTAGTTTTTTGAGTGGTTTTATCATTTAAGGGTTTTTTGAATTTTATCAAACATCAATTGAGATGATCATGTGGGTTTTTTCCTTCATTTTGTTAATGTGGTATATTCTTTGATTTTTCATGTGCTGAACCATCCTTACAGTCCATGAATAAATCCCATTCAGTCATGGTGTATAATTCTTTTAATATGCTACTGAATTCTATTTCTAGTGTTTTGTCTTATGGTTCATGATTTTCAACCAAGTGAGATAAATTATTTAAAATGAGGTCACAGGGCAAACTACTGCTCCCATAATTGGAGATACCAACAGGTGAAAACACAGAGTCACAGCTTAGTAGAGCAGAAACCCACAAATAGCAACCTCTACAGGTACCAATATCAGAGTAGAGAGATCTGAATTGTAATTGACATGTTCCTGGAAACTCAAGTGTGGAGTTTGAGTGGTACCTGCTCATAGCTAGTCATAGGGGATTTAGGGGAACCCAGTCATATGGGTGTCCCGACACTTCTGTGAGTTTTACCTCCAAGAGCTGTATCAAATTCTCACAGTGAATTTAAAAAAAAAAAAAAAAAAAAATCCCACTGTGTTTCTGGAAGGGAAAGGGGAAAAGGAACCATGTGGAAATACACCAGAACACTTTGTTCTTCTTAACAAGCTCTGCCCTAAGGATAAATAGTTAACTAGAGTCTAACCTTCTAGGGTTTTTTTAGAGCCTAACTGACCTGGGATAAGCTGCATACCCAACTCCAGCCCACTCTATACATCCTGTCCCACCTAAGGGGTAAGGAGTCGGGGTAGACTGAGAAGCAACATGAAGATCACAGTCTGGAGGTACAGGCTCACTAAAAGATAGAAACCTTATCATAGGACTGTAGAATGCTTCTCCTTCCTCCACATCCTACCACCACATTACTAAAGGCCTATTTATAGCAATTCTTTTTACCAAGTATATCATGTCTGGCTATCAAGAAAAATTACAGGCCGGGCGCGGTGGCTCACGCCTGTAATCCCAGCACTTTGGGAGGCCGAGGCGGGTGGATCACGAGGTCAAGAGATCGAGACCATCCTGGTCAACATGGTGAAACCCCGTCTCTACTAAACTACAAAAAATTAGCTGGGCATGGTGGTGCGTGCCTGTAATCCCAGCTACTCAGGAGGCTGAGGCAGGAGAATTGCCTGAACCCAGGAGGCGGAGGTTGCGGTGAGCCGAGATCACGCCATTGCACTCCAGCCTGGGTAACAAGAGCGAAACTCCGTCTCAAAAAAAAAAAAAGAAATAAAAATTACAGGACGTGCTAAAAGGCAAAAACACAGTTTGAAGAGATAGAGCAAGTATCATAACCAGATATGGCAGGAATGTTGGAATTATCAGACCAAAATTTTTGCAGCAGGTTTTAGGACCTACTTATAACTTAGGACCTTAAAGATCAATTTTTTAAATATACAGGGACGTTTCAATTATAGATGAATTTAGTTCATAATAATAATAAAGCATCCTATGTTTCTCAGCTTGTGAAGCAAATTATCTGCAGTACTACTGAGTCCTTTAGGCTTAATCTTTTTAGTTACGAAGTCTTGCTTGATGGACATTAGTACCAGCCCAGTGAGTCTTCTCCTACCGTACGATATAAATTCTTTTGCACAACACAGACTAGATGTTTATTGCTGTACAGATTTACCAAAGCAATATGTAGAAGATACATAGGGAAAATTGTTATGAATAGTATGCTGAATAAACAAATAGCCAAAATCAATTTACTTAATATGATCATGGAAATTGAACTTTGGTATTTCCAGTGAAATCAAACTTTTGAGGTATATCTTGTTTGTGAAACTTCTATGTATTTAGATATTGCATTATCTAAAAGCGTATTCCATGTAAGTGGTAATTGTGAAACATTTTTTCATTTTGCTAGTAATTCTCTGGAAAATGTTAATCTTGAGTTCTGTATTCTAATGTGTAGTAATACATGTTCATTTTATTTTATTTATGTGGGTTTTTTTTTTTTTTTTTTGAGACAGAATTTCACTCTTGTTGCCCAGAGTAGAGTGCAATGGTGCAATCTCAGCTCTCTGCAGCATCTGCCTCCTGGGTTCAAGCAATTCTCTTGCCTCAGCCTCCTGAGTAGCTGAGATTATAGGCATGCGCCACCATGCCTGGCTAATTCTATATTTTTAATAGAGATGGGATTTCTCCATGTTGGTCAGGCTGGTCACAATATATGTTCATTTTATAATGTCTTCCAACAATTAAGAGAAAATGCACTACCTGAATTGTAATTGTTATGGACTGAATTGTCTCCGCAAAATTCATATGTTGAGGTTTTAACCTCCTGCACCTCAAAATGATACTGGCCCCTATATCATATTACAGTAAGTTTTAGAACGTTAAATGAGATGTTTAAGGTGGATCCTAATCCATTATGATTGGTCTCATTATAAGAAGATAAGGACGCAAATAGAAGAAACACCATGTGAAGACAGAGGGAAAAGATAGCCATTTATCAGCCAAACAGAGAGGCCTCAATAAATCAACCCTGAAGACATCTAAATCTGGAACTTCTCATCTCCAGAACTGTGGGAAAATTTTCTGTTGTTTAATCCACCCAATCTGTGGTGCTTTGTTATGGCAGCCCTAGCAAACTGATACAGTAATGATAGTAATTTTCCCCATAGGGAAATTTTCTTCTCTATATAGAAGTTTGTTTAAGATTAAAAATTTGGAAATAATCTCAAATTTACAGAAAGTTGCAACAATAATTCAGAGAACACCCTTATACTCTTTACTCAGTTTAACCTATTTTTTGCCCCATTTGCTTTGTCTCTCTACTTATTCATACATATATATATTTGAACCATTTGAAAATAAGTTACATATACTATGCCCTGTTATCCCTAAATACTTCACACTTTCTAAAAATAGGGACATGCTATTACATAACCGCAGTACAGTTATTAACTTGAGAAAATGTAACATTGATAAAGTACTTTAATCTGTTGTCCACATTGAATGGAAGATTTTTTTTTTAACTTTGAGTCACTGAGGTTTTTTTTGTTTTATTTTGGTTTTGTTACAATAACATAGTGATTTTTGTTTGTTTCTTTGTTTTAATTTGTTTTCCTGGGGCATAATGGTTCAATGGCCATACTATCTGAGTAGCAGTTTTAATCAGACTGAGTTTAAATTCTAGCTCTACTTGCTTAGCTGATTGATTGATCTTGGGAAAAATTATTTAACCTCTCTGTGCTTTAATTTCTTCACCTGTAAGGTTAGTAGGGTTACTAAGAGAATTAAATGAAAGAATATTTAACAGCTCTTAGTAAAGTACATGCCATATAGTAAGGATTTTTATTATCTATCCAAATAATTTTTAAGTAGTAATTTTTCCTATAGGCTTAACAATGAAATGTTGCTTCTTTCTTTTGAAGTCAGAAAACAATACCTAAAGTTCTCTAGTAAAACTTCCTAGGTTCGTATCCAAGTCATGGCACAAAAAGAAAAAAATAAAAATAAATAAAAAATTTAAAAGAAAAAACTTCCTGAAACAGCATATAACAGATGATATTTTAAAAAGATCAATAAATTAGAGATGAATTCAGCAAATCATTCTTTAGCCACCTATGGTTTAAAAAAAAGTAATTCATAAAACTTCCATTATTTTAATAATTGCAGGAAGCTGCCCTGTCGTAGCAGATAATTTAGGTAAAACCCCATCCAATGTGTTTACTGTAAACTGCTACTCCCTATGTATTACGCTTTGTTCATCTAACAAACATTTTGAAAATTTTTTCATTCTTAGGCATATAAACAATGTCACTAAAAGAATTCAGAATGTTTTGGAGTTTTTTTACTTCCTTAGAAAATGTCATTGTTACCAAATTCAACAGCTATGATTGAGAATATAATGCTCTTGATTCCTCCTTAACCTTTCTTATAAAGCCACTAAATGTGTTTTTAGACTATTTCGCAGAATCCTTATTTTTTTATACTTTTTATTTTAGTTTAGCTTTTTAATCAGCACATAATTGTACATATTTATGGAGTACATAGTGATGTTTTGAGGCATATAATGTGTAGTGATCTGATCAGGGTAATTAGTGTATCTATCATTTCAAATGTTTATCATTTCTTTGTGTTGGAAACATTTAATATCCTCCTTCTAGTTATTTGAAACTATATATTATTGTTAACTATAGTCATCCTGCAGTGATATAGAACACTAGAACTTATTCCTCCTATCTAGCTGTAATTTAGTATTCTTTAACAAATCTCTCCCTATCCCTCTCTTTCTCCTACTCTTCCCAGCCTCTAATAACCTTTTTACTTCCATGAGATCAATTTTTTTTTAGCATCCACAAATGAATGAGTATATGCAGTGTGTAACTTTCTGTTCCTGGCTTACTTCACATAACGTAATGTCCTCCAGTCCCATTTATGTTGCCAAAAATGACAGGATTTTATTATTTTTCAGGCTGAATAGTATTTCATTGTGTATATATACCACATTTTCTTTTTCTTTTTTTTTTCCCCCAAGACAGAGTCTCACTCTGTCGCCAGGCTGGAGTGCAGTGGTACAATCTAGACTCAGTGCAACCTCCGCCTTCCGGATTCAAGCAATTCTCCTGCCTCAGCCTCCTGAATAGCTGGAATTACAAGCGTCCACCACCACACCCAGCTAATTTTTGCATTTTTTTTAGTAGAGTTGGGGTTTACAGCATGTTGGCCAGGATGGTCTTGATCTCCTGACCTTATGATTCACCCACCTCAGACTCCCAAAGTGCTGAGATTACAGGCATGAGCCACTGCGCCTGCCTATATACGACATTATGTGTTTCCATATGTTGGCTGTTGGGAATAGTGCTACAATAAACATGAGGGTGCAGGTATCTCCTTGACATACTGATTTCCTTTCCTTTGGATAAATAGTCAATAGTGTGATTGCTGGATCATATGGTAGTTCTATTTGTAGCTTTCTGAGGAACCTCAGAATTGTCCTCCAGATTGGCTGAAAAGCCATTACATTTTTCATTTGCATTAATTATGTCATTGTCAACCTTCAATAATGAGATTCAGAAAATGTTATTAAGTATAGTGTTTATTCAAGTGCAAAACTGGAGGATAGCCACATAGGAAACAGACTCCAAAGAAATGGGGTTAGTGTTCCAAAGTGGGAAAGTTGAGGTTTCGCTTATATAGGCAGTTAGCAGGTTTGCAACATTTTTCATACAGGGTCAGTACATATGTTATACCATTTTGACTGGTTACAGTTTGCTACATTTAAAGGAAGATTGGTTCTACATTCTGTGAGAAGGGGTGATGATCTGAAGGGATCTTATCTCTGGTGCCACAAGACCTTTCCTGATCATTTACAGGAAAAAGCAGAAGATGTAGCTGCATGCTGCATGACTCAGGCCACATAGCCACGGTCCTTTGAAGGTTCAAAATAATTCAAAGTTTCAACAGCTTTAAGTTTAAATTATTTACATTTCCCCCTTTTTATGGAGATCGTTTGAAGAAACCATCATAGGTGAACTCAAATGGTTTTGGCTTCTTTTATTTTTCAGGAGCTCAGTCTTCCATTGCTAGGAAGGCTGATTACTAGAGAGTCATGTCCCATGGCAAGGAGAATTTGTCAAACTATAAAGCAAATGGAGTATAGGCCCCATTTAGAACAAGGAGGTGACTTTGTGACTTGAGTCAGGC